TTTTAGCTTCATTTATTCTGCCGCCCCCTCCCCACAAGCTTCTTGACTGACTGTGCTTCTTTCTCTTCTGTCCATAATATTCTTTCCAGCATCCTCTATTGAGCTGGATTAATGCTCATAAATTCCTTTAGCCCTTTAGTCTGCTTTTTTTTTCCATGGGAAATTTTTCTTTTTTCTTCAGTTATGACTGATAGTTTTATCAAGTATGGGTAGTCTTGCCGGGCGGTGGTGGCGCACGCCTTTAATCCCAGCACTCAGGAGGCAGAGACAGGCGGATCTCTGTGAGTTCGAGGCCAGCCTGGTCTACAAGAGCTAGTTCCAGGACAGGAACCAAAAGCTACAAAGAAACCCTGTCTCAAAAAATCAAAAAAAAAAAAAAAGTATAGGTAATCTTGGGTTGGCATCTGTGGTCTTTTTTTTTTTAAGGAAAGTTATTTTTTTTATTTATTTATTTATTTATTTATTATGTATACAATATTCTGTCTGTATGCCTGAAGGCCAGAAGAGGGCACCAGACCTCTTTACAGGTGGTTGTAAGCCACCATGTGGTTGCTGGGAATTGAACTCAGGACCTTTGGAAGAGCAGGCAATGCTCTTAACCGCTGAGCCATCTCTCCAGCCCCATCTGTGGTCTTATATAATTAGAAATATGTCTTTCTAAGTGTTTTAGTCTTTTTGTTGTTGTTTTTGTTTTGTTTTGTTTCATGACAGGCTTTCTCTGTTTAGCCCTGGCTGTCCAGGAACTCACTCTGTAGACCAGGCTGACCTGAAACACAGATCCTCCATTCTCTGCCTCCCAAGTGCTAGGATTAATGACATGTACCATATTGCCTGGCTCTTGTTTCTGGCTTTTAAAGTTTCTATGTTTGCTATGCCTTCAGCACAGCATTCTTCTCCTTCATTTTCTCCCATAGTATACATCTGCTTCTATTGGCATCTGAGGATCAAGTGCTGGAGGGTCAGCCTTCAATCTGAAAAGCAAGCAAGATTTCCATGTGGTGTCTTGGGAAGGTGGTCAAATTTAGGGTTATAAGTAACATTGGCCAGACACACAGATAAGTTCTCTAGATGGTTTTGCATGGCTGGGTATTAGGGTTTTAGGAAGAAGGGTGCTTGCTGCTGGCCTAATGAACTAGGTTCTCCACTCTGTTCCGTGACAGTTGAGGGACATGTCAGGGCTGGCAGGAGTGCTAACCTCTGGCCTCATGAGCAAGCATTACTCTCTGTATGGCTCTGTTGCCGCTGTATGTGTTCTTTAGCAAGGTGTTTTTAACCTCCCATACACACTTTCCTCATGAGTAAACTTAAGATAATACTAATGTATAACACATGAGGCTACCATAAAGATTCACGAGGTAATTATGAAAGTCAGAATCACATTCCTGTTATGAGGCAAGCATTGTGCAAGCCCATAAGGACACAAATGTGAGCTGATGATGTGTCTGGGAGAACACAAACCTGGAAGGTTTCAGTGGAGTGGTGCTTAGAACTTGAAATCCAAATTAGAACACAGGTGGCATGTGCCTGTAGTCCCATCTACTAAAGAGGCTGAAGTAGGGGGATCATTAAGCCTAGGAACTTAAGGCTAGTCTAGGCAACATAGAGAGACCTCATCTCAGGAAAGCAAACAAACAACGAACCCTTCCTGTTATTTCTACACTTTGGACTGGGGTTGCTGATTGTAAGTCACGATTTCCAAAATGAAGGTACTCAGTTTGTGTAAGGGGGGGGGTGTTGTTGTTGTTTTACACTTATTTATTTGGGTCATGTGCATGTGACATTAATAGAATTGATGTCTATTCTCTCCTTCCACCATGTGCGTTTCAAAATTGAACTCAAGTGATCAGGCTTGTCAGCAAATGCTGGGCCCCACTGGGCCATCCTGCCAGCCCCGTATTCTGTTAACTCACAAATTATATGGACTTTATGACCATTTATGGCATTAGTAGAAATTTCATAGACAGCTAAAAGACAAGTCAAGAATTTTGACTATCCTTATTTTCAAAATAAAGATATTATGTCTCAGAGCGATAAAACAACTGTGTGTAATAGATGTTACACAGAGACATGAGAAATCAAAGATGCTTCCTACTGCAATTTGAGGGTGGGGATACAGTTCAGCATGAAGAGCATGTACTAGCACGCGCAGGGCCTGTATTCAATCCCCAGCGTCACCCATGCACAAAACTACCAAGGATCCAAAGCTAACACAAAAGGAAAGGAGAGCTGTGGCTAATGTGCCCTACGCCTGAGCTTTCAAAGGGGTCTTGATGTCTACTGCTCTTCTTTGACATGAGCAAAACTCTAATGGCCTTCCCTTTCTGTGATTAGGTTTCTTCTTTTTATTATTTGTACTTAGTGCTAGTAGAAGGGATCCAGGTGTCAGAAACCCTACATGGATTGGCAATTGCACACTCCAGAAAACGCTCCTCCCTGACAGCCACCAGGGGGCGGTCTATAGACTCTTATGTCTTCTCTCTAGGTATGGCTTGAGCTGGTTGATCAGCTGCTCTAAACCAGGCTCACACCTCAGAAAGGGAAGCAAGATCTAAACATAACAAGGAATATAAAGCTCGTGATTAACAAAATGTTATTTTCTCCCTTATCACCTTCTCAAATGAGTAGCACTGGAGTACGAATATGTTTATCTGCAGAGTCAGTCAGTCCGTCAGGATGGCTATCTTCAGAGTTCACGGCTTGTCTCCCGTGACTCAGAGCCTTCTGGCTCTTGAAGAAAAACGCCTGTCCCCACCCTTCTCAAATTGCTAAATGCAAGCCTTCTGTTGACGCTGTGTGTCAGAACGCATCATAACGCCATAGCTGGAGAAGGTGTTTTGCGACTTTGAGCTGGGAGGGTGACTGGGATTCCATCTGTAAATTGCAGCAGCCTGAACCTCCTCCCTGTCTCATTTGCATTTACTTATTTTGTGTCATGAGGGAACAACACATCACAGCAGAGGGAGAAAAACACTATAGATGAAAGCAAGTGTCGGTTACAGAAAGGCATCCCCTCAGCTATCTCTCACTGCATCCTTTCCTGCCAGCCCTATATGTTCAGAGATAAGTATATCTATCATACACTGTCCCAAGCTCTCTCCACCAAGTCATTGCTCAGAAGTTAACTGCTCACACAGCTCCATTCCTGCCAGAGGATGACTTCCCCAAAAAGCATTTATTTCATCTATGTTGCTTTTCTCCTCTGACGAAGGTCAGATTTATTAATATGATGTTTGTTAGAACATTAGACTTTAAAAAACATTTGCATAGCTGGGTGTGGTGGCACACACCCATAACCCCAGAGACAGGAGCACTAACAAAAGTTTGAGGCTCAGTCTGGTTTATGCAGTCAGTTCTAAGACAGCTAGGGCATCACTGTGAGATCCTGTCCAAAATACACACACACACACACACACACACAAAAAAAAAAAAAAAAAACAAAAAACTGGGGAACATAATTAAAAGCAAGCAAATGCTTATGTAATCCTCACAACAGGCAATGAGATTGACTGTGATGGACGTAATGGACACCTGAAATGATAACTTCAGGGAAATGCTGAAGATTCTCCAAAGCCTCCCCATCAGCGCTGTTTTCACCCAGTACACTGGACCAGGCTAAGATCTAATTTAGAACTTATGGACCAAAAGTTTCCCCCAATAGACTTGCATTAACTAAGCTCCAGAAATGGCAATATACAGAGCTGAGCTCATTGATTAATTACAGTAAAAATGTAGCTAGTGGGCCAATCAGAAGACTTGACTCAGCAAATCAGAACATTCTCTCTCCAGCACTAAATGTCTCAGAATCCAAATTGCAATCAGGACGGCAATTTATTCACTTAAAGCGAAAGAACTGAAGTGCACCAGCTGTTCATGCCCAAACACTTCTGACAGATAAACTGCATAGAAAATCAAATTATGCAGCCTCTTGGTAAGCGGGGCATTTGCTGGTCCTCAGGTGTGTCTTCCAGTAAATGGTCTCCTGCCATGAATGGAGAGCTGTGCCCAGAAAACTATACCACTTAAGTCTGTTAGCCAAGCCTTCTTCCTGCAGTAGGCAGGGATGGGCACTGCCAGGGTTAGACTTCACAGCTCTTCAGGTCTGTGTTTCCATTTGCCATGGCCATTGTACAAAACAAGAGAAAAAGAACAGTTTCTGCTTACTGTGTGACTTTGTTCCCAAATGATCTCAATCAGAATTTTGCAGTTTGGAGCTAGGTTCCTAGAACAGATAGCTAATTCAAGTTCCTAAGGGTCATTTTACTGCTTTAGCTCCTGAATGTGGTGGTTTTGATGTTTCAAGCAGTCTTGCACTTTCTATATTTAAAAAGGCATTCTCACCAGGAGGCGGTGGAACACACCTTTAATCCCAGCATTTGGGAGGCAAAGGCAGGTGAGTCTGAGGACAGCCTATTCTATAGAGTTCTGCGACAACCAAGGTATATAGGGAAACCCTGTCTGAGAAAAACGAACGAACAAAAATGAACCCTCTCTCACCACTCCCCACCCATTCCTGGCTTTCTCTGAGTGTCTCTCTGTATCTGTCCATGAGTGTGTCCCTCTGAGTGTCTCTTTGAGTATGTCTCTGTGTGTCTCCCTATGAGCATGTTTCACAAATTTTAAAACAAAAATCCAGAGGAACTGAGTGCTTGCCCCAAGATCTGAGTGTCGGTAAATTCGCAGCTCAGAGCCGGTGCTGCTACAGTCAGACTTCACAGCTTTCCTATGAGGTATTTACCATCAGTAAGCTTCATTTTGAAGAAAGAAAAATCAGTGTTTTAAAGAATTATCTTTTGAAAATGTTAACCAATTTTTTTTACTAAATAGAAGGTGTGAGATTGTGAATCACTGAATGAAAGTGTACAGTGGAGATGAGAAGATATAAATAAATAAAGCACTTAGAGTCAGTCGCCTGCATCCATGTTGGGTGGTTCCGGCACAAAGAGCATCCCTGATCTTGTCTGAGAGTAAGGCTAAGGCTACGTACCTATGTTCTCTTGCAGAATCTGAGTTCCTCAGAGGCAAGGGGGGAAATACTCCAGTACCAGGTGACCTTACAGGAGGTAACAAGAAAAATTACACTGCAGAACATTACAGCACACACCTCCTGGACCGGGGTCATTCCCAGAACTGGGGCTTGGACTGCTTCTGTGTCTGCAGCCAGTTCAAAAGGCTCTTCTGCGCCCACTCGTATTAACCTAGTGGATCTATGTGGCACTGGTAGGTACCTAGTCACCTTAACACTGCCTGTGGGAAGTGCTCTCCCTCACCTTCTCTTTCCTGCAGGTACAGACCAGAGTGTGGTATGAGCAGCCAATAGAGTTCGGTGTCAACAGCTGTTGTTTCCTGTTACCTTGGCAATGTCCTTGAGCAAATGAATTATAATTAACCCTCTGAGCTTCAATTTCTTCATAAGATGGAGATTATACTTACTGTCTTGCAAACCACTGTAAGATTACAATCTTACATATGTATTAGTAACATTACATTAGAGTAATATTTTCCAATTAGGCTAGTTTTTACAAATTTAACTATATATATTGCTAAATTCTGGACCAAAAAAATAGACTTATATTTAAAAATTGAGTATTAAAATAAAATTGTGATCTTAGTGAAATTGTGATAAAGTTTTGTTCTTTATTATATACATTTAAATATGTATCTAGTTGTCTTCAAAAAATCAACTAGATGTAGAGTCTCACATTTATAATCATATCTTCTATAATTATTTCCTCAAAGAAAAGACCATTATTAGCTAAAAAAGGGATCTTATGCTATGTCTCAAAGTCTGCACTGTAAAAAAGAAAAAAAAAGTCTAAACAGGATAAAACACTGTATTTGGACCCTCTCTTATAACTTAGTGTCATATTGTTATATATACATGTGTTCAGCAATCATCAGTTTGAAGAAATTTCTGTCAAGAGATTATGTTATTTTTAAGATGTATTATTTTATGTGTATATGTCTTTTGCCTGCATGGATGTCTGTATACCATTTGTATGCAGTGCGTATGGAGGCTGGAGAGGGCATCAGATCCCCTGGAACTGGAGTTACAAATGGTTGTGAGCCTCCATGTGGGTGCTGGGAACCTATCATGGGTCCATTGGAAGATCAGCCAATGCTATTAATGGCTGAGTCATCTCTCCAGTCCCAAAACATTGATGTTTTAGATGCAACATTAAATTTTGATTATATTTTAAGAACACATAATGAACACAGCTAGATGAAAATACCAGTAAACATGGGTATCAGCTCGATTTAGCATTTGAGTTAGGAATTGCTCCTCAGAGGCCGTCTGACTGAAGGCCTGACTACTGTGGCTCATTTGCCCTCTCACATGATAGTTCAGGGTAGTAACGTCAGTCAGTCTCCAGGCTCCTCGCTCTTTCCCTCTGCCAAAGCTGACGTTTGTCCTCACATGGAAATGGTCCAAAGGCTGCCAGAGCTCTAGCTGTTTCTTTGTAGGCAGCAGAATAGAGAGGAGGCAGAAGGGAGTGGCCCCAGTGTGCAGGAGCTCACCTCAGTGCACAGCATTATGCACTTGCTGCTACTTGCTGGCCCTCACTACTCACCTGACCACACCCAGCTGCAAAGAAGGCTCAAGAGCCACATTTCTGGCAGCCTTGCTATCTTCCTGAAGAAGATGAAAAGTTGTTTGGTAGGAAAAGCACCCAAGGAAAAAACGTAAAGGGAAAGATGGATCTCTAACTATAGGGAAACCCTTCCAAGTTCATACACTGTGAAATAATTTTATCTTAAAAATACCATATGTGGTAGGTATGATAGTGAACACCTGTAACCCAAGCAGGAGGCCTAGGCAAGATGTTGGCAAGTTAGAAGCCAGTGTAGACTCTGTAGTAAGATCCTGTCTCAAAAAAAAGAAAAAATGCAAGTAAAGCTTAAACAGCAAATAATAGCTTATAAATAAATATGTGTGTGTGCATCATATATATTCTATACATGTGTGTATCATATATATATATGTATTGATATATATCACATTTTGGCATAGAGTTGATATTGTCTATATATTTGTCTATATTAATCTTTTAAATTAATTTTTAATTAATTTGTACTTTTTTCAAATTCATAGAATATCAGGGATATAAACACACAGCTCAAAAAAAGAAAGTACAAGAGCCCAGCCTGTATAGTTCAGAGATCACTTTTAATATACACAAGACCCTAAAGTTGATCCCCATTGCATCTCCATGACCCTTCAATTATCATAGGAAAAACAGAGATATAAAAATGTTTAACTTAGTTAGCAATTAATGAGATGTAAATTTTGAAAAAAAACGTGAAAAATCAAGTCAAACTGACGGAGTGAGAAGAATGAGTGTGCTCCATGTTGGTGAAACTGTTTTTGTGTGCTGTTGGGGGGGGTGTAAATTGGCACAACTTTCTGGAAAACAATTTGTCAATACATAAAAATGCTAGATATGCACCAGAGAATTTCACTATTCAATATTCCAGACCAGCCTGGGATGTAGAATGAAACTGTCTCAAAAATAAATAAGAAAGAAGGAAGGCAAGGAGGGAGGGAGGGAGGCAGAGAGGAAAGGAGGAAGGGAGAGAAGTTTATCCTCAAGAAATAATAGAATGTTAGAAGTGTAAATGCAGACGTTCATTGAAACTGCTTGAGGGCTCTTGTCCGAGTTTGACATCCTGAGTTCAATCCCCAAGACCCCGCAAGGTGGAAGGAAAGAACTGACTCCCTCAAGTTATCCTCTGACCTTCAGACCTGTGCTATGGTACATGTACGTGCACAACATGTATACATAAATAATAGATTTTTTTATATATTATTTAATAATAATATAGCTGGCCTAAACATACAATAGAGAACAGACTTCAAATATGTCTGACCTTGGCCTGTCTTAATCACACCCTAGCATGTCACTACTGTTCCATGGGAAGATTTACATTACAAGCAACAAAGTAGTCTCTTAAAAGGATACATGGTCCCAGAGATAACACACACACACACACACACACACATGCACGCACGCACGCACACACACAGATAATTCCACTTTAAATCTACATTTATATGAGCAGATTTCCTTTTATACTTAAAAACAAAAAGCAGAGCCGAACAGTGGTGGCACACACCTTTAATCCCAGCACTCAGAAGGCAGAGGCAGGAGAATCTGTGAGTTTGAAACCAGCCTGGTCTACAAGAGTTAGTTCCAGGGCAGGCTCCAAAACTATAGAAATACCCTGTTTCAAAAAACAAACAACAAAAAGCCTAGTAGAAGCCATGGACATATTAACAGAGGTGATTTCTGCATCATTGGATTACCAAAAATTTTTCTTCAACGCCCTCCCCCTTTTGGTACATTTTTTTTTTCCTTTAAAAAATCTTATTTAGGGCTGGAGAGATGGCTCAGTGGTTAAGAGCATTGCCTGCTCTTCCAAAGGTCCTGAGTTCAATTCCCAGCAACCGCATGGTGGCTCACAACCATCTGTAATGGGGTCTGGTGCCCTCTTCTGGCCTTCAGGAATTCACACAGACAGAACATTGCATACATAATAAATAAATAAATAAATATTAAAAAAAAAATCTTATTTAAGCTGGGTACTGTGGTACATACCTTTAATCCTTCCTCTTGGGAGGCAGAGGTGAATGGATCTCTGAACCAACCTGATCTACAGAGCAAGATCCAGGATGGCCAGGGTACCACAGAGAAACCTTGTCTTGAAAAACCTAACTAAATAAATAAATAAATAAATACTTTATTTTATTTTTTCCATTTATTGATTTAGTATCTGTGTTTGTATTCATGTCACAGTGTGCCTGTGGTCAGAGGACAACTTTTGGGGGTGCGTTCTGTCCTTCCACCAAGTGGATCTTGGGGATCAAATTCAGGCTTAACAGCCAGTATCTTACCTGCTTAGCGTCCTACACCCCCTGCTGTTTTTCATATTTCATGTTTCTCCTCTGTGGATAAGTATTGTACATAGACTTTTTAAAGATTGATTTGTTTTTGTTTGTTTGTGTGTGTGTTTTACCTATGTAAAACATCCGTGTGTATGCATAGCACAACTGTGCTTGGTGCCTAGGGAATCAGAGCCCTGGCACTGAACTGCCATGCAGTGCTGAGAACCGAAACTGATCCTCTGCAAGAGCAGCATTGCTCTTCAATGCTAAGCCATCTCTCTGGCTCCTGTACACAGCATTTTTTAAAAATGGATTCTGCAGTGGCATTATGCTGTTTTTAAGATGAGCTACATAAAAATTAGCCCTGGTGGCTGGTGCCGGCCTTTCATCCCAGCTATCAGGAGGCTGACACATGAAGGTTTTGCATTTGAGAATGGCCTGAGCTACATAGCATTCTCAGCTACACATTGAAATCCAGTATCAAAAACCCACTGTTGATGGGGAGATAGATATCATAGTAAATAAAGAACTTGCCATGCAAGCCTGAGCACCTGAGTTCAATCCCCAGAACTGACATTTGAAAAGCCAGGCATGGTGTATGTTTGTAATCCCAATACTGGGAGACAATGATCCATGAATACATGGAGCTTGCTGGGCAGCCAGCCTAGCCTACCTGGTGAATAACAGTCCAGTGAGAATCTGTCTCAAAAACAAAAGGTGTTTGAGATCTCAAGAACACCATCCAAGGCTGTCCTCAGGCATATGCACACACACCTACACGTACACACACGAACATGTACAGAATGCACACACATACATATAAAAATACAGTGACTAGGGCTGGAGAGATGGCTCAGTGGTTAAGACAACTACCTGCTCTTCCAAAGGTCCTGAGTTCAATTCCCAGCAACCACATGGTGGCTTACAACCATCTGTAAAGAGGTCTGGCGCCCTCTTCTGGCCTTCAGGCATACAGACAGAATATTGTATACATAATAAATAAATAAATTTTTTAAAAAAAATACAGTGACTAGGCATACATCTCAATAGTACAGCATTTTCTTAACAATGGCCTAGATCCAAGTAACAGAACATGAAAGTAAAGCACTCATCTATATAAAATACATAAATAAATAAATAAATCTTTTTAAAAATAAAATAAAAAAAGATTGCTTCTTCCCAGATGACACAACTCTGTATTAAGTTGACAAAAAAAAACCTGGAGAGCACAGTGGCTCACACAGATGTCAGAGACTGTGGCTCAGGAATGTGAAGTAAAATCCAGTGTAAGGATACAATATTCTGAAAATATCTCTTACATAGTAAGAGACTGGTACTTTTACTGAACCTCACAGCCAGAGTTAACAATACTCCATGAAGTCACGTAAGGCTGCTAGCCTACTGTGTACTCAAACCCGCCTTTTACAAGAACAATATAATAAACCAACCTTACTTGTTTTGGATTTCCCATGTAATTAATGTCTAGCACCTAAGCCCCTCCATAAGTGTAACTGTAAATTATGTACTCTTCCATGCCCCTGACCCAGAGAAGGCACATGTATCATTTGCTGAAAGCAGAAATACAGACAGAAGTTGAAAGCCACTTCCTAAAATCTACTATGAATGTTGAAAGCAACCATTTATGGATATTGGTTAATAAACAATGATGTTATCTGGGTTAGTCGGGATCAGTTGGAGCCAGAGGCAACCCCTTGTACAACTCTGTTAAAGATTTCTGTTAAGTATCCCATTCCTTCCCTGTGTAATGCTTTCTGTGCTGTTCAATAAATACAGACTGAAGAGGCAGACACACATACAGACACAGTCAGACACCTTTCATACATACAACGACACGTACAGTACATACAGACACATACAACAGACAGACACAGAGACACATTCAGCTCGTATGACAGACACACAGGCATAGACAGAGGACAGAGACAGAGAACATGAAATAGAAAATTAAAACCTATTCTCACTTTTGGTTAAATGAGGAAGTGTTTTTCTCTCCTTAATTTGATACTGATGCATTTAAAAGAAATGCTAATGAAAATAATCCAAGCAATCCAAGAACAGACACCCAGCAAGCAGCAGAGCTAGACAGAGAAAGTACCCTCCTTTCTCTTAGGTGGTACCTTACAAGCATCAGAACTCTACATAGAGGTTCTCGGGAAACATGGAGCTAGAGTATTCTGATTGACACTAAGAAAGTAATTTCATTTTATGGTTTTTCTGAGACAAGGTTTCACTCTGTAGCCCAGGCTGTTCTTGAACTCACAAAGTTCCACCTGCTTCTGCCTCCGAGTGCCAGGATTAAAGGTGTGTGTCACCATGCCTGACATAAAGATAGGAGTCTGAAAGGTGACTGAGAGAAGGGAAGACGCAGTCTGGTGAACATCCTAGAGAAGGAATCACAGACTGGTGCTGGTAAGCCCAGCGGCTGAAGGACTCTGCAAGATGCAAGCTGATTTGCTTAACAAATTTCAGATAAAGCAGAGATGAAAAAGACAACCTCATATAAATGATCTCGCAAATTGTAGCACTCAATATTTATGGAATGAATAAATTTTACTCTAAAACAATATCCTCGGGCTGATGAGATGAGTTGCAGGAAAGGAAACTGCCAGGCCTGACGACTTGAGTTCTAGCCCTGAGGCCACTATGGTGAAAGGGGAGAACCAGCTCCTCAGGGTGTCCTCTGACCTCCACACATATGCTTTGACACTTGCATGTAAGTACACACACACATACAAAATAAAACACGCACAAAAATAAAGGCAGTCATAATAACATTCTGAAAGCTAGAGCTAGCTTACCCCAACCTCTATGCTTTTTTAATAATGCCCAGGCACAAACTACTTTACAATTGAACCGTGAAAAAATACATAACCTTATTTTATTCAATTCATGTAGAAAATAGAAAATAAGGAAAGCTGTCCAATCCATTTTATGGAATCAATTGCTTTATGATCAATTTTATTTTATTAATAAAAGTAAATAAAGACAGTAGAGGAAGGATTAATGTTTAATCAATTGTGAATAGAGACACACAATATAAATAAATTATTGGCTATCTAAATCTATATAGATATATTTTAAAAATTAGTGCCAATAGTTCCAACTTTCAGGTAAGCATATACAGCATTTGAAAATGATTACTCTGTCCTAAAACAAGTAAAAAAGAGACAAACTAAAAAGGCAACAATGTCCTCCTCCATTCCTCCTCCCAACCCACTGCAGATAAAAATAAATGTCTGTACATAGGAAACTTATTTTTTTATATATTTATTTATTATTTATTATGTATACAATAGTCTATCTGTGTGTATGCCGAAGGCCAGAAGAGGACACCAGACCTTATTACAGATGGTTGTGAGCCACCATGTGGTTGCTGGTAATTGAACTCAGGACCTTTGGAAGAGCAGGCAATGCTCTTAACCACTGAGTCATCTCTCCAGCCCCCATAGGAAACTTCTTTTGTTGTCACTAAGAGCCTTTTGCTTTATAGTTTTCTATTATTCTTCAATTAAATGTTTCATTCTTAGGGTATGAAGGCTTTTTTTCTAGCTAGTAATATTTCCACTATTAATTGGAATGCTAGCATAAAATACCTTTCATTTCTACTTAAGAAGAATTTTTCTATTATTTTTATTACTGTGTATTCATAAGTTTCATTATGATATTTTCATATGTTTTCCATGTACTTTGATCATATTTACTCTTCCCATTAGTCAATTCTTCTTCAACTCACGAGAGAAGTAAAACCCCAGGGAAGTCACTGCCCCCAGCATTGAAAGAAAAGGTGAATATCTAAGGATTAGCAGGTGGGATGTGCCTGCACAGTTTACAATGCAGACACACCATCCCTGGAAAACAGAAATAAATAGCATTTCCTTTCTTAAAAAATAACCTTTCTAGCTTATACTTTGGACTGAAACCCTAAGCATAAAAAGCAAAAGTAAAGGCCAATAGAAGACAATGTAGTTGAATGTGTTCATAGTCCCAGCGTGGTGGAAATTTACAAACAAGACTCAGAATCAAAACTGTGGTAAATTTACCAGTACCACGGTAGATAACAAAGTTGTCAGAGAACTAACTGACTGCATTAAGAGTAGAAAACTGGATAGTAATTAGATTCATCAAAGCTACTTGCAGATCAGAAAAAGGCAGAAACACACGAAAAAATGAGCCAAGTCTACTAATAGCTACAGAAGGAAAGTCATTGAGTAATTTGGACTCAGGAAAGTCAAATCTCTAATCACGTATGATTTTATACGTATCAAATTGATAAGCAGAAAGGGAAATAGAAAGTGTAGGTGAGGTGAGAGCCCTCCTGCTAGCTACCCTTGGTGAAGGGTCAACGTGCTTTCATTGTTTACCTTCTGTGCGTGTGTACAGTTTCTTGCTCAGGCTGGGCAAGGGCTACACCCCCGTCTCATCCATCTGTTTTGGAGATCAGTCAGAGGGATTCTCCCTAGCCAAGCAGTCCTGTGCGTGTACATCCTGGATGGTCTTGCACATGCACAGAGGTGCTGTAGTGTCACTGTGTCCTTGTGTCAGGACACTCCTTCTGGTCACTGGAGAGCAGAGGAGAAAAGGGCTTAGCAGAAGTGGGAAGGAGTGAGCTAGGTTTACATGAAGAAGGAGAATGAATCCATTCCAAAAACGAAACTAAGTGAAAAGGTTTGACAAAACATGGTGTGTTTTGTGAGAATACGACACAAGCAAAGGGTCACACTACTTCTCAGCGATACATTTATGTCTAAGGAGACAAATGGGCGGTCATTAAAAGGGTGTATATTACATTTAACAGAGTGAGCACTTTGAGGGAATTCAGTAAGTAAATACAAATAGAAATAAATCCACAAAGAAAGCTACTCTGGATTATAGAACAAGCTGCTGAGGCTAATCCTCCGTGGACTGAAAAACATGAACTTAAACCTTGACCTGGAAGTCCCTAAAGAGAGACTGAATTTCTAAAACTTAGCTGGGATAAGCTGTCGTGTCTTATTTTAGTGTGTGTGTGTGTGTGTTCATGTATGAGCAGATGCATGTGTGCACATGTAACCGCAGGATAACCTTAGGTAGCTGTTATTCCTTAAGCACGATCTATCTTGCTTTTTGTTTGTTGTTGAAAAAAAAATCTCACTTACTAGGTAGGCTAGTTAGACTGGCTGGACATCTCAGGAATCTTCCTGTCTCCACTTCCGCAGGACTGATGTACAAGTGTGCAGCACCGTACCAGCCACACCTGGCTTTCCCCCAGTGGGTTATGGTGATTGAATTAGCATCCTCAAACACTTGACTGACTGTGATGTCTCTCCAGTTCCCATTTTTATCTTTATCCGTTCTGATTTTGTCCTTCCTCCTCCTCACCTCCAAAGGGTTGCTGGCTCCTTCCTGGGTATCTGCTAAGTCAGAGAACATGGACAACATTGTGGTGACCTGGCAGCCTCCGGGGAAAGCTGTCTCTGCTGTTCAAGAGTACATAGTGGAATGGAGGGCTCTAGAACCAGGAAGGAATGTGAGCTTTCCCCCACACTGGCTGCGGATCCCTCCCTACAACACGACTGCTCTGATTTCAGGTACCGCACTACTCACATGTCTTCTAGAGAGCCACTAAATTCCCATTTGTTTGTCTAGTTTTCTGTCAACGTGTTAACAAGTTAGAGCTGTCTGAGAATTGATAAAGAGGGAATCATAATTGAGAAAATGCCTCCCTAAGACTTGCCTGCAGGCAAAACTGTGGGGTCTTGTCTTACTAATTCATGTGGCACCTCTAAGCAGGTGGCTGGTGCTATAAAAAAAGCAGACTGAGCAAGCTGTAGGGAGCAAGCCAGTGAGCAGCACTTTTCCATGGCTCAGATACAGCGTCTAGAACCACACCATGAGTCCTGCCATGACTTCCTTGGATGGTAGACTACAAGCATGAGATGGAATAAGCCTTTTCCTCTCCAGGCTGCCTTTGGACATGTTGTTATATTACAGTAGTAGGAGCCCTAAGACATTTGGGGAGACAAAGCTATTTTGTCTTCAATTACAGAGGGTTACATGTTATACTAGAATCCTAAACAGTGGGAACCTAGAGTCCATCAAGACTGCCCTGTAAGCCAGATGGGGTGGTGCATGCCTTTAATTCCACAACTTGGGAGGCAGAGACAGGTGAATCTCTGGAGTTCAGGGCCAGACTGGTCTACATAGTGAGCTCAAGAACAGCAAGAGTTACATAGTGAGACCTTGTCTTGAAAAAAAAAAAGACAGCCCTCGGGACTAACTTGAGGACCAAGTGACTGAAGAAGGCTTATGTTTATGGGAGAATTATGTCCCCTAGCACCATGCCCAATAAGATGAAAGAATAATTGAACCAAATAAGTATGGCAGAAACCTAACTTGTCAAAGATACATTTATCTTTGTAAAGTCATTTAACTCAAAACAATTTTGTGCACTGAGTCATTATTTTTATGCAAGATAAGATATGATAAGAAAATTCTGAAATTATAAAATACATAATTGCTTCTGAGGCATTGTTTTAAACCCATCATACAGATGGCAAAACCAGGAGATCCTCATTCCCAATCCTGCTATTTGTCATTTGAACTGTTATATGAAAATTGGGACCACTATTTCTAAGTGACATTTCTGTCAGGGGTTGCAATAAAGTGAGAAAAAGTATCTGAAAGCACATTAAAAGGACTAGAGAGAATCTAATGTCAATTTAAATTCAATTTAATGTCAATTTAAGTTCAGTATTGTGGTTCATGGTCTGGCTATATAGACAGCCTACCCAGGCCTGAGTCCCGGCTCCTTCCCTAACAATTGGGAGATCTTAGGCAGATTTCTGCTATGCCCCTTTTTCCTCATTTCAGTGGCTATGAGGACTGACTGTATTAATATATGGAAAATGCTCTGAACAGAGTTTAGCATATTTCAAGTACTAAATAATTTAGCTTCCAAGGTATTGTTACTAAATGTGTCAGAAATAAGAACTGAATAGATTTACAAGCTCAAAACACTAAACTACATTGTTGTTCCACCATGAACATCATTACTCCTCTCTAGGAATGTATATAAAACCTGCTTAATAAGGTTTACTTGAAGAAAAATATCATATTATACAATAACATATGAGCTGGTCCTTGACTGGGTGCCTCTTATATGGCCTGCCTGCCCAGACTTCTACCGGTATACAAGGCTGCATACAGTGAGCACCCAGAGAAAAAAGAGCAAGCCACTGAGAATCTAGAACTTTTCGTTTGGAAACCATTTATCTCATAGAAGAGAAATTTATAAGGTATAAGACAAGCGGTTTGATTATTTTTGCCGGTTTCATTATCTATACATCCAAAAGTATATGTGCATTTTTCCTTGGTTGCTCGGGAAAGCAAGATTCAAACCCTGAAAGGAAATGATAAGAAAAGAAGGCATTAATTCTGGTTGTTGTTTCAAACAGGGTCTCACTCTAGTTCTGGCTGGCTTAGAACTCACAGAGATCCTCCTGCCTCTGCCTGCTGAGTGGTGGAATTGAAGGATGCACTCATTATCACGCTCCAGAAGGTAGCATCAGATTTGAAAGCAACTTTATCGCTTGCTTCTGGGATAGTTGGAGGCTCTGCAGTGATGCCAGTTTCCCTTGGGAAGCTGGGGGCTCTGCAGCGGTGCCAGTTTCCCTTGGGAAGCTGGGGGCTCTGCAGCGGTGCCAGTTTCCCTTGGGAAGCTGGGGGCTCTGCAGCGGTGCCAGTTTCCCTCGGGTAGTTGGAGGCTCTGCTGTGGTCCCAGTTCCCTCAGGTAGCTGGAGGCTCTGCAGTGGTGCCAGTTTCTCTTGGGTAGTTGGAGGCTCTGCTGTGGTCCCAGTTCCCTCAGGGCCTATCATACCCATCAAATCAAATGACCCATGGACAGGAAACAGTGCCTAAACTGGGAGGTAATATCAAGATTCATCTCGAGTGCTGGGATTAAAGGCGTGCACTCAGGAGGCAGAGGCAGGCGGATCTCTGTGAGTTGGAGGCCAGCCTAGTCTACAAGAGCTAGTTCCAGGGCAGGCATCAAAGCTACAGAAAAACCTTGCCTCGAAAAAACAAAACAAAACAAAAAATATATATATCAAGATTCATCCCTCATGGGCAATTTGAACCTTGCCTTTCTTTGGGAAATCATATATTTCTATATAAATACCATAAAGTGGATATAAAATGAAATATTCAGAATCACTTCTGAATAATGCATTTGAATAAAAACAACAGAATAAAGTTGCAAAATAACCCATTAAGATTGTTCTGCCACTTGGAAATATTTGATTTGCTATTATTTTCTGCTGAACTGAAACATTCACAAATTCAGACGTTATTCCCCTTACAAGCTTCTTCTGACTCTGGCTGTATGGACGTCATCAGAGGGTCTGGAATGAGTCAGAATAAACCTGATTCCTGGACTGTGGAATGGCAGAGCTAGAGACTATCAGCCCATTCTGTTTGCCCACCGTATCTCAGTGTCTGGAAGTTCCTCTGTGAGACCTAGAGTAGCTGTGTCCCTCTCCCACATGCTTGTCTTGGTGTGTACAAAATTATTCTCAGTTACATTGTTTGTGGAAGAGATGCCTACTTTCTCCCACACAAGAGGTAAAACTAAATATCTGCAGGGGAAAAAAAAAAGTCCGTAAAATAGCTTATAAACAGAGACAAGGCCTTTGCCCAAGGATGTTGTGAATATAAGGTCAGCAGAGAGACATGAAATGAGCTTGGAAATTGGGTCCCATTGCAAAGGAAATGAGAGTCTTCCAAGTGTGGACTTCTTCCACTGAAGGTTCTTAAGGTGGGGAGCAAATACCCCTGAGGGGTGGTGTTCATACAAAATAATCCAAAAAAAAAATGTATCTCCTTAAGTTCAGAATCAGGAAAAATGTTTGCTAGGAAGGCTTTGCTCTTCTTGAAAGGGAAAATGTCAATGAAGACACACAGCCATGTATCTTTCCTCCTTGACTGAGAGCAAGCAGTTCACAGGAGGAAAACCCACAGTTTTCGATTGTGAGCAGTGCCCTCGCTCACATTTTGCTTTGCAAGGCTCATCAGGAACTCCCAGATCTCCACAGCACAGTGGGTTGGTTGGCTCTTCCCAAGTCATGGGACAGGAAAGTTAACCAAACACTGGAAATAAGAGCCACTTACCAGACCCTTCCAAAGGACGTATGATTCCTTATCCTCCATTGCCCTTCAGCCGGGATCCCATGGCACTCTGCAGACTAAGGTGGCAAATGTCTTCTCCACTTTTCTCTGGTTTATGAGCTCAAGTTGGTGCCCACTCTCATGTAAATCTGATCTTATCAGGCTCTCTTCCAACAATGGTTGTGGGATAATTTAATGGACTTTCATGTAACACACACACACAATTTAGGCAATAACTGTGTGAGGTAAAATTCCTCTGCAGCCCAAAAAGACATGAAGTCCTAGTCAATTATAAGAGTATGGGACACCAGTATGCCATAAGAGAGCCGCTAAGGTGCTATATCTGCAAAACTCTAGCGACTTCATATAAACAAGGGACTCATTTGTAGAATCCAATATTTTGCATGCTTGTATCTATATGGATATGTTTAAATCTTCATCAGAGCTTCTTAAAGGTCTTTATCTCCTTTTTAAGAACAATTACTCTGTTCTCTTAAATGAAAAAACTAGGCATAGTAATGTATGTCTGAACTCTTGGCCTAAGAAGGTTGAGGCAGAAGTATTGCTATGAATTTGAAACCAGTATGGGCTACATAGATAGAATTTATCAAAAATAAATAAATAAAATCCCTACATTTCTTGGAAATGGTACCTAATAATGAAAAATAAGATGCTAGGAAACTGTAATCTAGTCCATCCCTTTATTTTCAGTCCAGACTGCTTTCTTCAAACTAAGAAAAGCTAAAAATGATTTGGATGTGGTTATTAACACAACTCCCTTTCCTGTGCAGAGAACATCAATCCCTACGTCTGTTATGAAATTCAGGTGCATGCACTGTCAGAGGACCAAGGAGGTTGCAGCTCCACCCTGGGTGACTCCAGGCACAAAGGTGAACCTTAGGATCTTTCCTCAAGCTTCTGGTTTAGTGGCTTGGATTTGGAGGGTGACAGAAACCTCTTGTGTCCTTCTCCTCAGCACCTTTGACTGGCCCTCATATCATTGCCATCACAGAGAAAAGAAAGAGCCTTTTTATTGCCTGGTCCCGCATCCCAGCCCAGGAGCAAATGGGCTGCATCCTCTATTACAGAATATACTGGAAGGAACGAGACTCTGCTGCACAGCCTGAGCTCTGTGGTATGTGTGAAAACCAAGTGCTGAGGGGCCTCCTGTTTAGACGCTGGGAAAGCACAGACTGAGCATGTCCTCACTACACACAAGTGCTAGTACTAAGTCAGCACTTGTGAAATGAGTTGAATTATGAAGAATAGATACCCATATGCACGCATGCAAAATTACTGAATATGTGTTACACGCTAAGGAAACTGTTAAAGATACAGAAATGAAGTGAATGGGCCAGGCTCTCATAGTGCCTGCTCACAAAGACCAAAGTAGGAGGGCTAAAGCAAGAAGCAGGCCTGGGCTACATAGTAGACAGTGAGATGTAATTTGTCAAAACAAATTACAAATAGTAACACTTGTGGGTTTTGTTAAACTGGTGGACAAACACATAAAGTCAGCTTTGCAACCCAAAACTTATGGTTTAGCAGGAGTTCTTAAACAAATAAGAGGATATGACACTCAAGACAGCTAGGATTTAAATGGCATTGATTCTAAAAGCAGAGCTGGCAATTTAATGAAACAAACAGTAAAGGCACTTCACTATTAATTATATGAACCCTTGAACTCCAAAACATTTAGATATTGTTTAACTCTTCATGTTTGCAATTAGCATCGTATTATTTTCTTCTTGGAATGTATAAAATACAGCACAGTTTAGATAATTCTTTATGAACTATAATTGTTTTTTGGCTAAAAAGGCAAAATGATTACAATCAATTCTGACTGGAGCATTATCTCAAATGTTTTCATGAATCATTGCTTCATGGAACTAATCACTTGTAAGATCTGATCATCAGTTCTTTGATCTAATCAGAGCCGTTTTGTTTTTATTTGTTGTTGTATCTTGGCCTTCTCTGTTTCAGGAGCATTTGTAGGAAGAAGGGGCATTTTCATCCCTTCGTTGGCTCAAGTTACGGGCTCAAGAATGCAAGACTTGAGTGGCAGGCTCCAGAGCATTGATGCAAGAGAGCTTTTTGCCTAGGAACCTTGAGAGAAGCTGTCTTCTCTCTTGACGTTTCCCTCAGTTATGCCTCTCACTGTTAATTTTTATAATTAGTTTTGAGAGAAAATAAAATATCTTGGGCTGCTCTGTATATATATTCCTCCAAGGACGAAATTAATGCACACACAAAAACATGCTTGGGTCTTTTTCTATTTGGACCTGCACTTTCAATGATCTTTCCACCTCTGTGTCTGTGAGTTGACTCATTTTTAATTAACAGCTCTGTCGACTTTCCATCATTTGCTAGCTAATCTGTCACCAGGCCCATCAGGATAAGACAGTTCTAAAAGGCCTTCTAAAGACTGGCGAATCAACTGGCCTTTTCATGGGCTATTTGGGATCCTTCCTGTTATATTTGCCCCCAAAATTATTTTCCTTTTAGCAACATTTAAAGCAATGCCTATTTACAGCCACAAAGATCAATGTGGTTAGTTGGTCCTTGTAGCTGTTGCGGTAGATGTTGAAAATGACCTACTATATTTTGTCACAGATTTGTTGCTTCTAGAGCCTACACAGTGCTATTTTTAAATAAGTTAAAAGGCAAGATTCACAGTCTGATTTTTACTAGTCTAGATTATATTCCCACTTAATCCAGTAAGCACATATTGGTGAGTAAGCCCCATTCCTTATCCTCAGAGCCTTCAGTGTGCCGAGAGCTAGAAAAGTCTAAATAACCACTACAGTAATCCAGTGCAACCAGAAAGCACTAAATTCAAGATCATTCTAGATGGGAAAGATCAAGAAGGAACAAGACATCTGGAAAGAAAAGGGACCTGATAGCAGGAGGAATGTTGCCAGTGCCAAGAGAAAGGGGCCCAACCCTGTCTGCTTGGTTTAGGTACCCAGTCCCACAGAGTAGTACGAACATATGTGGAAGTATCAGTTCTTTGTCACTAGCTCTACAAGGACAAGTGAGGTAAGTGAAGAATTAAAAGTGCCCCAGCATCTCGGTGCACAGCCTGTTGTCTGAATATCTGCTGGCATGGCCATATGCGCTAGGTAAGCACACCTCCCTTCTGCAAGACACATGACACTGCCTGGCTGTTTGTCCAAAACTGTCTAGGCATTGAAGGACACAAGCTATGGCAATTCGATCACCATTTCTCTCTTCTAGAACACAGCCAGAGAGATAGTAGGTGCACTTACTAAGCACGGTATTCATTGAATAACAAGTGATTGAATTCATTCCCAGTATCAGTGCATCTGTTCAGCCTGGTCTTCTTGATTTCATTGCCACAGTCTTTCAGACGGTCAGCAGCGATCACACCCTTCTAAATTCATCTGAATTTGTCACTGAACCACCCGTTTAAATTTCCACCCACTGAAACCCACTGAGCCTTGAAGGGATCCCTTTATCTCTCCTGGGAATCACCCCAGAGGCAGCAGGACCAGTCTTTCTTGCTTGACTTCTCCCATTACACAACTCAGCCTATTTTGCCAACAAAACTGCTGACTCCACGACTCGCACCTTCCCACATCAGCTGCTATTTTTGTTCTTCAAATATGTACGTGCAAATGAACATTACCAGCCCATCACACCATAGACATCCCTCCTTTCTGCTCCAGTGTCTCATCTCACTTCCCCAGCCCAGGACATATCACACAGTTGGACAGCTGACTCCCTGGTGCAAAACCAACAGAAGCTCTTCCTTAAAAAAAAAAAAATTAAATCCTCTCCTTTAGGAATAGGAATCCCCGCACACATCTACTTAATCATATTGCTTAAGTCTATGTAAGCTATTTCACCAGGCTATAGCAGACCTTGGAATTTTCCACAAGGTATTTTTCTCAACAGGTTGTAAAATACAGCGGTTGTTCTGATAGTGCCTATGAAATGATCTGCTCAGGCCTTAGCCCTTTTCAGTGGGGCAGAAGGAACATTCTAGGGCTCCTTCTTACTACCTACCCATAATAAGTAGGAACAGACTGGTGGGCAGAGTCTGTTCTTCCTGTCACATGGTGAATTCTCTGAAGCGGTGCTGTGTGTTCAGAGCAGCCGACAGGCATCTGTAACTGTCCATGGGCCCATTTATGAAGTTAGACACAGTTTCCACTATTGTCCTCAGCATAGACACAGGCTGTCTGAGTGAGCCAGCAGCTACAGCTATTCAATTTCTGGCTTTGCAGATGCTGAGGATGAAACCCAGGAGATTGTGCATAGGAAGCAAACACTTTTAGCAAAGCTACAGACTACCCCCTCTGACCTTGATTTTCCAGCCTTCCTCTGATTCCCACATGCTGAAAATAAGGCTGGCACTACCACACTCAGTATCCCTCCCTAGTTGTTGAGAGGGCACCTTAAAACCCACTCCAGAACACTGCATTTACTACAGGCTACAACTACCTGTGATTCCTGCAGGAGAAAGGCAGCATCTGTACATCAATCCACACACAAGTTTCACTTGCAGAGAAGCTATAGGAGGGTTAGAGCATAAGAAGTGCCACCTGGGAACCAAGGAAGTCTCTAGTTTTTAATAGTTTTATGTCAAACTGAAGCTAGGCACTGTGAGTTCAAGACCAGAGCCTAACAAAAAGAAGAGCAAAAGCACAGTCTAAAATCTTCAAGTAGAGGCTGGAAAGATGGCTCAGCAGTTAAGAGCATGGGCGGCTCTTGCAGAGGATACAGGTTCAATTCTCAGCACCCTCATGGCAGCCTACCATTGTCTGCACCTCAGGTTTCATAGCTGGTGCCCTCTTCTGCACTCTGAGGGCACCATGCACACACTTGGTACACAGTCATACATGAAGGCAAACACCCATACACATAAAATTAAATAATTCTTAAATAAAAAACAAATGTAAAAGAGCTTCGAGTAAATGTTTCATTAATTGCTATAGATTTTTTTAAAAATATATTATCTCAGGGTAGGTGGTGACACATCTTTAATCCTAGTATTCAAGAGGCAGAGGCAGGTGGATCTCTAGGAGTTCAAGTCCATCATGGTCTACAGAGTGAGTTCCAGGACAGACAGACAGACCTATCCAGTGAAACCCTGTCTCAAAAAAGAAAAAAATCTATTATCTTAAAAATAGTTTTACACTAATCTCAGTAATTATAAAAACATATATGAAAATACAGATGTAGAAAACAAAAGAATTGCTTCAACTAAATCATTTCTGAAGCAAAATTAACAATTCTTTCAGAATATCTTTATCATGAAAAAAACTGTTTGCTATAGTAACAAGGCTTCACAAATGACCACGCCTATTGAGTACTAAGTGTTGATGAATTTTGATGCTGTTAAAACAGCAATATGCTTCTCCCAAACCAAACAATGCAACAAAAATAAGTGAGTACCCACATTGCTTATTTCCCTTACACAGCTGTGTTTTCCTTTCAGAAATTCCATACAGACACTCCCAAAACTCATCTCCAGTAAGCAGCCTGCAGCCCGGAGTGACATATGTCCTATGGATGACAGCTTTGACTGCTGCTGGGGAAAGTCCCCAAGGAAACCAACGGGAATTTTGTCCACAGGGTAAGAAGCTACAGGCAGCCAGTCCACTGTGGACTCTGGCACAGGCCCTTTCCCCTCGACTGACTTCCTTGCAAGCACTTCACACTTGCTGTTGAGCTATATGCTGCCCTCCCACCACACCGCCTGCATGAAGACAGTGCCAACTCATCTTCAAAATGCAGTAGAAATACTACCCCTCATCCAGGAAGCTCTGTGAGACGTATATACACCATTGTATATTCTCCGCACTTGTGAGCTAGGGAAGCCCTTGTAGGGCTCGAGTGCCTCTTTGAAAATATAATTGGATCCCCATAGTATCCTTCTAACAGAATAGTTAAAATTGAATTGGCTTTGTTCCTAAACCCAAGTACGCATGCACTGCGGGTTAAGGTCCAGATGATTCTGAAGTATTTACTGAAGATAACACCATAACAAGATTTGCTTACTTTCCAGGCAAAGCCAACTGGAAAGCATTTGTGGCATCAAGCATTTGCATTGCTATCATCACGGTGGGCATTTTCTCAGTTCGTCCCTTCCGGCAAAAGTGAGTTGAGTTGGTTATACCCTCCCCCCGCCAATTTAATATGTGTGTTGAGTATGTGTGTGTGTGTGGTATACATACATATATGCACATACGGGAAAACATGCATAGATATGTGGAGGGCATGCAAGAATGTTGGATGTGTTCCTTTATGCTGTCAGCCTTATTCCCTTTCAGGGTCTTTCCTTGACTCTTAAAGTTGACATTTAAGCTAGGCTGGTGGGCCAGCTAACTCCCAGGATTCTCCTGTTTCCTCTCCCTAACACTGAGCTTGTAGGCACACATGACTGATTTTAATTGGTTTTTATGAGTTCTAAGGAAGTGAACGAGATCCACATACTAGTACCCACTGAGCCATCTCTCCAGTCCTGTAAATGTATTTTAAAAATGTAAGTCATTGCTGCTGTGGGTCAGGTAGATACATCACTGGTAGTAGAATAAATTTATTCAACCTTTTTGGCCAAATGTATGTTAAATTTTTAAAAGTTTACCTCTAACTTTAAATTCCAAATATATTCAAAATATATCATATATGTATATAGTTAGTGAAAATATGCTTACTGAAATACTGGTCATAAGGAAAATATTTCAAATAGCCTACATGCTATACTCAGTGAGACTAAACCACATGCAAATAACTTACTGTTTATCCACTAAAGATATTGAAGTTCGATGTAATGTTATATTAGTTTTTAAATTTTGCAAACAGTATTTTTACATTTTGAGATAATGCATACACAGAAACATATCCATATACAGTTGAGGAGGAGCAGGCAGTCTGCCACTGCACTGGTGTGACTCAGCTCACCTGGCTAACTAGAAAGGTCTCCTTCCTACCTCGTCACTCTACACAGTGCTTCCCACAGGTACACCCCAAGAATTCCTTTCCCAGGTGGAGGACTGTTCTTCTATCAAGGGTATGAGTAGTTATGTTCCCGTTAGAACCTCCTAACAAGCTCTCAATATGTTGTGTGTACTCTACTGGCCTGAATCTATATAAGCGTGTAGCAGGTTCTTACCTGGGTAAAGGGCTCCTTTGGTAGCTCCAAAGGTGACAGGAACAAATTTCCTATTGCACTATCCTAATTTAGATTATATATTGCACTATATCATCCTATATCATCTGTGTGACCCTGTGATCTCACGGCTGTGGGAACTATAGCTATTATATTCTACAATGGGGGGGAGAGGAAAAGGGGTCAGTCTTCCCTTTTAAAGAGCTTGAAGGCTGCACATGATACTTGCAGTTATATCTCAATAGACAAAACTCAGTGAGGCAAGAGTGGCTAACTTTATGGTCTTTTAGCTGCATTCACTGTCATCCTGACAAACCAAGATCCTGAACTGAGGAAAAAGGAGGAAATAGAATATCGAGTGATGAACACTCTGCCCCAAAGATACACGACACAGCATAAATGGTGGTTATATCTCGAAACAAACCATAGGTGACTTTATTTTACCTATCTATTCTATAAAACTATCTATTATATAAAAATTGGGTAAAGGAACTTGTCACCAAGTCTGATGACATATTCATTGATCCCTAGAACCCACTCCCAAGTTGGTCTTTGATTTGACATGCACGATAGCACATGTGAACTCATACTAATATAAAATATTTAAATCTTTTAAAATTAATTTTAAAAAACATTATTTTGCAAAGGAAAATCAGTTCATTCTTCAACGTGAAGCTTTCTTCAGTTTGCCAAGTAATAGATGCCAAATACAACCAACTTGGCATTTTCCAACCAGTGCATTTTGGCAGATCTACCAAAAGATCACCAATGCCAAGTAATAGGTTCCAAATACAACTAACTTGGCATTCTCCTAGCTGGTGCACTTTGTCTGGCAGGTCTACCTAAAGATATCACCAAAGCAAAGCTCCTTAAAGACTTCGTAAAAGGCTGGATGCATGGTTCTGCAGTTAAAAAGAACCAGCTGCTCTTCTAGTGGGCAAATGGTACACTTTCTAGCACCCACATGGTGGCTCAGAACTGCCTGTTACTCTAGTTCCAGCGGACCCAATGCCCTCTTCTGGCCTCTGTGGGCACCAGGCAAAACATTCATATACATAAAAAGACAAAACCGACTATTTTTAAAAATACTTTGATAAAGCTTATCCTAGAAGTCAAAGAGAATCACATCCAAGCTATGACACACCATTGCCACATAACATATCTCACTATCTAACACAGTGGTTCTCAACCTGTAGGTTGTGACCCCGTTTGGGGTCAAGCAACCCTTTCACAGAAGTTGCATATTGGATATTTACACTACGATTCACAACAATAGCAAAATTAGTTATGATGTAACAATGAAAATAATTTTGTGATTGAAGTCACAACATGAGGAACTGTATGTAAGGGCTGCAGCATTAAGGTTGAGAACCACTAACAGTTAAATCATAGCTGGTCTTTCTTCATCAAAGTTTATCAGTGTTTGAACTATACTTTAAATTGGTTGAGATGGGGGGGGGGGTCTTTTTGAGACAGGGTTTCTCTGTGTAACCACCATAGCTATCCTGGAACTTTCTCTGTTGACCAGGCTGGCCTCAGAGATACTCCAGCCTCTGCCTCCTCTGAGACTAAAGGTGTGTCTCACCACTGCCAGGCTGGTTTTGATTCTTTAGTGTCCAATAGTTTGTCAAGTGCATTTATAAGCTTTTTGAATTTTTTCTCATCACAAGACCTCTTTATTTCTTCTGATCAAACTGTAATCAGTGTTAACAGGTATTTCTCTAGAATGACCTTTCCTTGGCATTTCAAACATGATTATATTCAAGATATTACACTATTCTGTATACTATTTTAAATATTCATTACAAAAATATTCATTCAATACAAATATTGTATTACAAACTCTATACTTTAATTAATTCATTAGTAAGATCCCCAAGCTTTGCTCTTCTATTCCCAGCATGTTACTGTACTGATAACATATTTAATGTTACTTGATGAATGAATGCATGGCTAAATAGTAAGAGATTACTAAAAACTAAGTGGAGCAACATTTTTTAGTCTATTTAGCAACTCTAACTTACTGCCATCCAGCCTTCAACAATGTTTAAGGGTTTGTCTTTTACTCTTTCCATACAAAAGAATCCTCTCCCCTAAATAACTGCAGCGAGAGCTTGTGCCTTTGGACACATTTTAACCAAATATCACTGTTTTCTTATTTTAGGGCATTTGCTTTCCTCTCTACTCTCAGACCTCAATGGTATTGCAGAACCATTCCAGATCCAGCAAACAGCACTTGGGTAAAAAAATACCCCATTGTGGAGGTAAGGTACAAAGTCACATTGGCAGCTAGTATAGTGCTAGTGATGACTGCATCTAAGGAAATCCTCCCAGGAATAAAATTCTGCGGGTGAGCTGAGTTGATAATGAATCATCACTGTTTTCTTCTGGACTCAAAAACAGTCCATGCATGAGAACTTCTGAAGCCCATGAGCTTAAGACCTACCAGGCTTTATGCCTCCATGAACTTTTATGCCCCTCCTTACTTAAACTTATTTCAAAAGAAAAAAGCAAGTTTGATCATTTGCCATTTGGAACAGCACCCTGTAAACTGACTGTTCCAAATACAGGCAAATGAATTTAACTTTCCCAATCCTGTGGGAGCACAGAACACAGGAGTTTTAATTTTTGTGGGAAGACATTGCATAAAGAAAAGGTATTATGGAAGAAATAGCTCAGCATACAAATGAAAGAGCACTGTGGATAGAAAAGAAAGGGGGCTTTATCACTGCTTAGAGGAGGAAGATGGGGTATCTCTGGAGAACTGAAAGTTGTGGCATCTAAAGTGCAAGAAGGAACGGAAACCACATGCCAATCTTTCCTGTTGTTGTGAGCCTTTTCTCAAGATTCTCTTGATTTACTTCCTTAAGTCAGAAGCCAGTGACCCAGCCTCTGCTTAGAGGAACTGCTCCTAATCACCTCTGCTTTAATTTAAGTCACTGCAGTTCAGCATCTTTGCAATTGGTTCTGGAGGACCCTGCTTTCTGTTGCACACATGGTAATATGTGCATCTTGGGTAACTTGCCCAACTATCTGAGTACCAAGTGTCAGCATTTCACATTTTATTACTGAAGGGGAAACAATGTGAGTAAAATGCTTTTTACTTTTGTGTTGAAGGGTTTGTTTCTGAGCTAGTGTTTCTAGCTCAGATTGGTCTCAAACTCAGATATCCTCCTGCCTCTCAAGTGCTGGGATTATGGGCATAATCCACCATGTCCACTTTTCACTTTTCATTTTCTTCCCAAGAACAGTCATACTTGGAGACTTCTTTCCATTGAAGGGTTTTTGTTTCCATTAAATTACAACAGCAAGAATAATGACAATGATAGATGCATATTCACAATACACTATATTATGTATGTACTAGTTAAGTACATAATAATAGTGCACCAATACTTTCTATGTAATCTACATATTATTTCCTATGTAAGCAGGCACTTTTAATTTCATATATCAACAATTTATTGGCAGCTATAAGTCATAGTATTATCCTGATTATTCAGATAAAGAAACTGAAGCAGAGAGCCAAATAACTTGCCCAATACTGTGATAAACAATGGGTCCTAAATTCATTTTCAAGCAGGATATGAAGACATTACACCTTACAACAGACCTTTAAACACAGGATGAGGAATATTTCTAGTGGCCTTTACCTCAGAGGTGAACAGACTCACCAGGGAGGTGTCCACACAACAGCCCTCACTGGATACAATCATCTATGGGAGTATGCGGATAAATCACCAGCCTTATAAGGTGCTTTGCTGGCATTAGAGAGGATTCAAGTACCAGGATTTGAATCAACTGACCTTGACAGTCTAAGCCTAAAACACAATAGGAGGCAGCTCTGGGATAGGTGAAACACAGACCTTCACATTCCCCATGGACATTGACCAGGAAATAGAGGCAGAGATGCTAGAGGCTGGACAAAATGCCAAATAAGATAGGCAAAAGTTTTGACAGTAAAGTAGCAGAACTGGCACGTAAACACATGCCCAAAGTCACATGGCAGAAGCACGTGTATCACAGCAATAAAGTACAAGTAAAACATGTATAAAGGAGAGACAAGACTTGGATATGCTTAACAGTTTTTAACTCACAAGTGCATATATGTATGTGCATATAATTCCTGAATAGGGCAGTTAAAGCAGGAACAATGTGAGCTATCATTGAGTCTCACAAAAATAAATAAATAAAGTCAAAGTTTGTAACACTTGCTTAATGTAGTTTTCCTGGGTATGAAGGAGATGGCCTTTAGAGAAGCCTGCCAAATACATAAGCCCATTATGGTGGCTGCCTCTGGAGTGAAGTTGAGAATAAATAGGGAGTCTTCTATTTGACCTATGAACTTCGCAAAAATAATCAATTTAATTGGAAAAAATAAGTAGCTTTTAGGAGCTGGAGAGATGACTCAATGGTTAAGGGCACTTGTTCTTGCTAAGGAGGACCTGGGCTCAGTTACTAGCATCCAAAAGGTGGCTCACAATTAACACCCCTAGGGTCCGATGTCTTCTGTACTCTGTAGGTACTTCACACATGGGTTACAGTACATAGATGCAGGCAAAACACTCATACCCACAAAATAAAATTTATGAATAGACTTTATAAATTTAGTTGATGAAGACTTTGAGACAACCCCACAGCCCAGTTTGACCTCTACAGTGTTTCAAAAAAAACATATTGTACTTTTTTGTACTTGATTGAGGCAAAAAAAAAAAAAAGAATTAGAAATAAAGATATACCTTAACACTCTGAAGGAAAAGACCAAACTATAGAGAGGATCACTGGAATGCTGTCTTATACAAACTAAAATTGGTGCCCATGGTGTTCCTGAACCATGAGGTTAAAGGAACCTTCCCTGACATTCTAGAAGCCAGCTCCAAGAATGTGCAGGGGAGTAGTCTGTCAGTACTGCTCCAGCAGCAGAACAGCTCACCTAGTAAAAAACAGTTTCTCCCATCCTGTTAATCTCTTCCAAATGTGGCAGCCTTGCTTTGGCACAGCTGCCATGCATACATGCATGTTCCAAGGCAAACCTACATGCCAGGACCAGCTTGAGGATGATCAGGGGAGGACTGACTTTTAAAAGAAACGATGGAAGCCATTCATGGAACTTTTCAATCTCATCACTCCTCTCGACACGTGCCATGCCCCCAAAAGTGGCCAAATCAGAGGCTAATTATACCAAGACCCTCTTGTGCCACTTGTCATTTATTAAATGAGAAAACCAGGGAAAGAGAGAGATTGATCAAAATTTCCCACGACTATCAAAGCTGGGACTCGTCCTCAGAACTTGCCAGACAGCTTACGTGTGGGTGACACTGAGAAGAAACTATGTGGAAGTGGGAAACAGATGCAAAGGAGGACTAGGGGCTGAAATCTTTTGATATAGGTCTAAGTGTAATGGCATGGAGCTCTACCTTGGGAAGCCCAGGCAAACTGTGGAACAAAGTAAGATGTAAGAAGAGCTGTAAAGCCTGGTAGGAGAAATGTTAATCAATTGCCAAGGACTTGAACTTGAAAACTGGCAGTAAAATATAAAGGAAAAAAAGACAAGGTAGTGCTAGTGACCAAAGAAATGTTGAGAAAATTAAGAGAAAAAATATCAAGACTAAATAAAGGGAAAGATGAAAACCTGTTACAGCAAATGTTTAAAATGCCAGTCTGACAAGAACATTACCTTATCTGAAACCACTTAATTCTATCAAAGCCCAAACCCCTTAGCAAGCCCTAAAGGGCTTAATAGCATGATGATGCTGTACTCGGGAGGCAGAGATCCAGGCTAGCCAGGATACTGTCCTTAATAAAAGTCCTTCATGAGTAGTCTTGCCCATTTCTAAATCCTGCTTTTTCTAGTACTAACAGGGTTGTGTAAGTGACTCAGTAGTAAAGCACTTGCCTTAGCATGTACAATCTGGAGTTTGATTCTTAGCAATGAAGGGTGGGGGGCAACAAACCAGCAGGCTCAATATCAATTTTGCCCCACCAACTCCAATAGAGAACCCACCTCTCTCCAGATTCTCCTCTAGCCTTTCATCTCTGCCTCCATGCCCTTGCCACTAAAAGAAAAAAAAATGGTATAGCTTGATTCAGAGACTAATTAAATGTTAAGTTAAACAGTGAGTCTGTCCTTGACTGAAATTTGCGATGTTGATAGTGTGGCATGGGTATCTGGCTCTGGCCCCTCCAAAGTTTAAAGGTCCAGCTTCTCACCTGAATCTGAGACAGGACTGGATATGATGTTTTGAAAATCCAGAGTCATCAAAGTAACCTATATATTCATTTTTCCTCCTCCCAGGAGAAGACCCATCTATCCATGGACAATCTCTTAATGGCCTGGCCCACTCCTGAAGAGCCTGAGCCCCTGATCATCAATGAGGTCCTTTACCAAATGACCCCAGTCTTCAAACAACCCTACTGCCCCAAAAGACAAGGGACTCTAAGTCACTCTACCCCCAAGGAAGACACAATATATATTGCCTCCAGTCCACTACCTACAGGAACTCTCACTGCTGACACAAGACAACTAGTGAATCTATACAAGATGCTAGGAAGGAGAGAACCTGACTCAAAACTGGGCAACCTCACCAATTCCTTGACAGTTGCCCCAGTGGACTACCTTCCCAGCCATGAAGGCTATTTACCCTCCAACATGGAAGACCTCTCTCTACATGAGGACCCTCCAACTGATTCTTTAGAACTGGAGCACCAACACATCTCTCTTTCCATTTTTGCATCAGGTTCTCTTCGCCCACTCACCTTCTGTGGTGAGAGGCTGACTCTGGATCAGTTAAAGATGAGGTATGACTCCCTCATGAGTAATGAGGCTTGATGCCTAGAAAGTCAGTGTATCCCATTAATATAATTACTCCAGTGATCACCATCGTTGGTAGTATCGGGACAGTGCAGACAAGCTAGCTGTCTCTAGTTCCACCATAGGGACTTGCTGCCTTTGATATCTTGGGTCTAAACTTTCAATCCACAAGAACTTGGACTTTGCTGCTTTATTTCTTTATATATAACTGTAACCTGACTCCGCCCCCTCTTCTGTATCACCACTGGGTAAGTCAACTGTCATTCTAAAAATTCTCCTTACCAAAAAAAAAAAAAAAACAAAAAAAAAAACTAAAGATCCAAAACTTTTTTTCTTAAAATGCCAAATCTAATTCTACCCCCATCCTATTCTCTACAGTGACTACTTTTCTGTATCTGGTATTTTCATTTAATAAAGTTACCTATTGCAATTCTGTACTTCCTTTCCTAACCTACCAAATTAGCAATGTGTCCATACAGCCCAGTCCTGCCACCTGTTTTCAGTCTTTGTTTCCTATGCAAGTCTAGTCAGCTTGTTCATAAACATCACTGCTTCCTGCTACTCTGGAAAGTAAGTCTGGAAGAGTTCTCAAAATATTAGGCTTCCCATTACATTTCTATTCTACCCTACTAACTACTGTCCAGCCATCAGCTTTGGCATCTCTGCACCCATCAAGTGTCCTCAGTTGATTGCCATGACAAGGATACCTTCCCAGAAGCCAGCCAGCCTGTTATGTACGGTATTGTTCAGTTTTCTCCTACCCAACTGCTTTTCTCCCTGCTCCCCAGAAGACAGTGAAATCTTATCAAAGTTTCCCAACCCTAACAATGTCTCTTCCATGCTTTCCCTCATCAAGACTTCCAATGTCACTTTGATCTACAACTTGGCAAAGTCTTCCCAGTACAGTGCATGTCATCTGTCACCACTCCTGTTGGCCATTTTAGCTTGTTTGCTTCCCACCAGCTATTCTAGCACAAGCTTGACAAAGAACAAACAAAATCCACATAAGGGACTTTCACTTTTAAGGTGCATTAAGCAGTCTCACTCTGCCCTATGAGAGAGCTCACCAAATGACAGAGCAACAGGTAAACTTTCCCAAGTAATTTTTACAATTTGCTTGACTCCCAGATAAAACTCCAAGCTTCAAGTCTTTCATCCCTTGGTATTTTTAAATTCTAAAATATATTCCACCAATCTACTTTTTAATTCATAAATGAACCGAAATACCAGTGTACAACACTAAGGGACATGGGAAATCTTGGATGTTTTGGTTTTATTTTGAAGGTGTGGGAGTGAAATCCAGGAGTTTGTCAGACAAACTGTGTCCAGACCTCAGGTTCAGGTAGGAATTCTCAAACTGTCCTGAAATTTCCCAAAAGCCAGGGGTTTTGTCCTACTCTTATCTTTCAGGTTAAGTGGAATGTCAAGCCATCTCTTACCCTCTCCCCACTAGTTCTATCTAACCCTATCACCATTTTTTAGCTCCCTTTACAACTACAGCTCACCCATGACGTCCTGGAGCAGGGGTTTAGAGAAAGAAAAAAAATAAGTTCTAAGTAGGGTCTGTTCTTGAGTCACCAGAAAGTTGCCTCCTGTTCCAATAGCAAAGACCAAGCAAGGCCGCCCAAGGTTTGCTTTCATCCTAGCTTGCAGACTCATGTCCACTTTAAGTTTCTTTATAAAAGCTTTACTTGAAAGGGTAGAACTTCCAGAATAAAGCATTTTCAGATAAGAGCTTCATAGAAAAACCTTCCTTCTTCCCTAAAATAGAAACGCAATTCAGACTAAAACAGATATAGCAGCAGCCTAACACATTTAAGAACTTGGGTTGGATTCCCTGGCAACACGAGGTAAGGGAGGCTTTTCAATGTGAGTGATGCAAAGAATCAAGTTAGAATTCACAGCTTACACCAAAAAACATACAATAAAACTACCATGAAACACAAATAGAAAATGGGTTCCGTAATAAGGCTCTCGTACAGATAAGTATGAAAGGCGGCACTTCAGTAACACGAAGTACATAATTGTGGTCAACTGTAATTAAAGAAATGCAAACTAAGTACTACTTAAGTATTTTCACCATATTAGCAAAGAAGACAGAACAAATAAGACAGTATTAATCAGAGCATCTGGACAATATTCAGTAAAATTCTAATGGTCAGCACTCAAATTTTCATCAACATAGCCAAGAGCAGTTTAGTTAGAACACAGTATTTCTCAATGAGTTAAAATGGTGGTCCTTTGAAACCTAGTGTTTCTGTACAATGAAAATACTGTAGAGTTCAAGGAAATTGACTTTATATAATTTTTAATTCTAAACAAAAGCTAACTAAACTGCATTGTGCCACTGGCTAATGTGTTACACTTTCTTTCTAGTTGTGGCAATAAAACTCGTGGTCTTATGCATGCTATCAAGCAGCATGTAGGACTTGCCTTTCACATTTTGATATCCCTAAAATTAAGATAGGGCATAAAACTGATGAAAAACATACAATATAGACAGAGCAGTGGTTTAGAGCTATTTGCCCTTACAAAGGACATAGGTTCCACTCCCAACACAAAGATGATGGTAGCTGTTCCTCCATGACTAGAGCATGCATGGTACACATACTTAACATGCAAAACTCTCATAACCACATAGGATGGCTTAGAACCGCCTGTTAAGTCTGGCTTGGGGGGGGGGGGGAGCACAATGCAATGCCTGTGCTTTCCACACTAAGTGAACATGCCCATGTAAGTACATTGGATCTGCCTGGGTAGACTCAAATACTATTGGAACCAACTTCTATGTCTGCTTTATATTGGTACCATAAATCATGGACTAGCACTGAAGGAAGCCATGGCGTAACTGAAGTGGAAAGCTGCTTACTGACTTGTTCTCAGCACTCCAAACTCCTGCACACAGCCCATTAAACTATGAACATGTCCACAATCTTCCCCCAAAGCAACAAGGCCTGGTCTGTCACAGCAACATTTCACTGCAACCATCCTAGTTTATTTTGTTGCTGTGATAAAACCCTGACCAAAGGCAAACTTGAGAATAAAGGGTTTGCCTTATACATTCCAATCACTGTTCATCCCATTACTGAATAAAAGTCAGAACAGGACCCTAGAGGCAGGAACTGAAGCAAGACACCATGAAACTGTTCACTGGCATGCTCAATTTTTTTTTAAATACAGCCTAGGAATACATGCATGACAGCTCCACACCAATCATTAACCAAGAAAATGTCACCATAGATCTAACATGAGCAATTCCCCTCTTCCCAGACAACTCTGCTTTTGACAAGCTGACAAAACAAAAAAAAAAAAAACTTATCACACTGATAAAATAAACCATGCTTTTTTCCTTGGGAGATGTGGAAAGCTGGCTTTGAAGGTAGGTCCTTGCTATGTAACAAAACTAGCCTTCTGCTTATTACTTTTAACTCAGTTTCAACTATCACCAACCCTAGCATGCCTTTTAAACACTACTTAACTAAGAAGATTCCCCCCCTCCTAATTTTACCCAATTTCTACATTTTGAAGTATGGCTTAAGTTATTTAAGTCAAAAAGGCATGTCTTAATTTTGTGCCATGAAAAAGCTTTTCAAAGTCAGTAAAAAAGTCTTTTTTTCTTTTCACTCTAGTTATCAAAACTACATTGTGGTTACTGTTTCAGAAAATGGATATCCATTAACTCTAGACAACTGATCTCATAAACCTCTCACAAACCCTCAAGAATATTTTTACTAGAACACCAAGTCCAATGCAGTGGCTCATGCTTTTAATCCTACAACTCAAGGCCAGCATGGTCTTTGTTTACATAGTTCCTGGCCAGCCAGGAACAGACTGCAACCCTGTATTTAAAAACTGTATTTAAGTACCTTAAATACTTAACTTAAAGACCCTAATCAGCCTGTCACTAATATTCACATAGAAGCAGAAATAACTATTCCATCACAACAAAGACTTCTGACCAATTTGTGTTCCCTCAAAACATTGGTTTCCCTCAACCTTGGACAACTCAACTTTTAGGTTCAATTCCTGTAATCAGAAAATTGCCGTGTTTCTATCTCTTCCACCTTTCTCAGGGAGGTGATTACTTTAAAACTGTACTTAACTCTCAATCAAGTGACTGATGAAACTGAAAAAAGCACCCATGCTCTCCTCTAACTACAAAGTGCTGGTAAAGCTTCGCAGTCAGTTTACTGGAAATGTTCTCTACTTTGGAAAAGATTACCTCTATCCTATACCTTTTAAAATGAGATGCATGGAAGCTATACCTATCAATACTAATAAAAAATTAACCAAGATTCTTTCTGATATAGTGACAAAGTATCACAGGCTTTTGAAGTCATAATAAACTGTTACAAACAAAACACAGTAATTGAGGCACATACTACATAACTGAGATAATGATTTACTATTCCACCTCGACGCCGACAAAAGGGCAACGAACTGGTCAGGTCTTCCACACAGCAAAGTTGTATGTTAACACACAAGGAAACCCTTCATAAATACACTTAAAGGGGTATATGAAATCAAGCTGAAACCAATAAAAATTCTGAAATTCAGAAATATGTAAAAGAGCTGCCAGTTACAGTCGTGGTGCTTATCTATAAGCTGCTCAAAAAACCAAGGCTGGAGATGCCCAGTTTCAATTCTGAGGACTGTCTCTAGAAAAGAAAAAAACACTCACATCTCATCAAATTGTCTATCTTTAAATTCACAAATCATGGAGATCTAAGCATTTTCATGTATGTAATGGGATAACACTATCACACGCCTTATTAAGTCTAATTTTTTATTCATTACTAAATGCTGAATTATTAAAACAGCCCCGTCAAGAACTTCGACACAAACTGCCACCAAACCTAACATTAAATCTCTGTGGATTCAAAATATAAAAGAATCTTTATGTGTACTCAAAACTTTAGGGAAAAATTTTTAAAAAATGTCTCACTTGGTACTCACTAGCTAGAAGCATTTAGTACCTGGCAAAATTCTATCCAAATAAATTCACTTGGAGTTTACAGATTTTTATGTGTATGAAAATAAATTTCAACAAATAAGACATTACTTAATTTTAGAAAGAGCAATTATAATCCATGCGTTGTAAACTTTCACCCAATGCAAGCTACAATATTTTGCTTAAAAACAGTAAAATTAAAGGCAAAAGTTCCAATTCCAGTTCTTAAGAGATCTAATGTTCTTGTCTGGATTGAATGGGCATTTACACTCTGACATGCTCAAAGGCACTGACACAGACACACTCGCATAAATCTATAAAAAAAAAACTAGCAGATATTGCCTCTACAGACTTTTGACCATGGATAAGTGACTACCAGATAACATCATACCCAACCACACTTTGGACTAAAGTGACAGACTCTTTTAATAGTAGTATGACTTAATGGACATATAGAGGTAAAGTTTTATTTTAAAGGA